GGATTGCAAAGCAGGGACACAGTTTGTACCGACGTTGAAAAATAGAAAACGAATTGGTGTTGACAAACCAAGAACATTTGATATTGAACCTGTACCATTGAGCCGGAAATGTCGGATGTTTTCTATCGATGAACTACTTAAATCAAAAGCAGAGGAGTCAGATTGTCTTCGTTGTCCTGATAGTCCGCCAGAGGTGACCATCTATGTTTGACATCGTGGTGTGTAACGGTCCAGCCGTATAATCTAAATCAAAGAAATTATCTTCTTTTTTTTTTCTAAATTTCTAAGCTGAATTTATCAATGTACTCTAGATAAAAGTATCCCTTTAGCAATACAGATTAAACCATACGATGTATATTGTATATAAGAGTAAAGTAATTTGAACCAATTAAGATGTGTTACGTTTTCTAGCGTTCCGATAGTATTAAAATATTATATGTTTCTAAACCGTTACAAGCATAGCAAAATATCTCGGGTAGCTGTACACAATAATTTATTCAATGTTTTTTAAGATTTCTTAAATGGAACAACTGCATCTAATAAGGATGATGTAATATTGTAAATAAAATTATTTCTCAATAGAAATTTACAGGTTGTGCTTCTCTTCAATAGATTTATCTCAAAGTGAGTGAGTGATGTTGACAGAGCTGATGGTGAAATATATAAAATAAAAAAGACAAAAGGACGTTAATGATAATATTAATTATGTTGATGGTGCTGCAGACAATAACAATGATGATGATTCTTTGAAAATTATGAGAAAGTGCAGACGATGATAAATATAAAGTATGATTCATACTAGCGATTATTATTTTGTACAAACCGAGGTAATGATGGTAATAAAAATCTTACTAACATGCCGATGATAACGACGACGAAATTAATATATTACCAAACAGACAAATTATCATTTTCTAATATATTTATCAGTGTACCCTACTGTAGATAATAGCATAATTTTAGCAAATAAAATTTAACTATAACATAATATATATTACATAGAACAAAGTTACTGGAACAATTAACGTATGTTACGTTGTCTAGCGTTTCGATAGTATTACTCCGGTAAATATACTAATATCTGAATTATGCCTTGCGTGCTGTTTTCTAATCATGCTACTTGGATAATGCATTTGAACTTCCACAAACTAGTGATGGCCGCCAAACTTCTTAAATCAAAGCCTGCACAGTGGCGCCTATGCTCTCTCATGAGGCGGTGGTCCACAGGGCCCCCGAATTCTAGCACCCTGACCAAAAAGGACTTTGTTGATAAATAACAACATAATGTGTCTATGAAATCGACTGTAGGGCATGTATCATAATATAACGATTAAGGAGAGGGGGGGGGGGCCGACGGGACCGGGACCCCACCTTTAAAGAAAAAAATAAAATGGAGATAAAAAGAAAATCATATACACAATTTTAAGTCTGTGAGTGCCATTTCCGCCCATCTAGACGTGCCATAATAATACATTTTTTCTCAAAATACACATCTAAGTGTCATTTCTGGCCATCTGAAGGTGCCATATTCATAGATGTTCTTACCTCAGCCCCAACCCATGGTGGGTCTGAGGTAGACTCGACTGTGAAAATCCCTCCCAGGCCTCAATTTTCTGGATCCATATTATATCATTTATTCGTCGTTAAAAACATTTAGAATAACATGGAATTGGTGACCGGGGACCAAAAATGGCACCGACCCCATCGTTACGCCACTGAGCCTACAAAGTAAGAGTGTCCTAGCTTTTCAGATCGTCTGCCAAATATAACCATCTATGTTTGACATCGTGCTGTGTAACAAAACTGTGACTAAATCTAACTAAAAGTAATTGTCGTGTTCTATCCTGAATCTATTTGTAAAATGTACCGTTATATAATGTTATATAGTATAATAGTAAAATGTTTATATATTGCAGTTTGTGTTGACAAAAGCTTGACAACCAATTAACGTGTGTTATGTTATACATAGTATTTCTATGTCATATAATATTTATTTATTTTTGTACGTTAACAAATTGTAAACTGATATTTCATTTACCTGTATATAATAATTACCACTGTCATTCAATGTTACGCAAATGAAGATGTTGCAATAATATAAATGCAATTATTTAAAAAAAAGCAATTTACATGTTGTTCAGTATAGGCCTATACTTATCGCAGAATGAGTGGGTGATGTAACTAGGACACAGCTGATGATGACAGATAATGACTATGAAAATGGTGATAATATAATTCTAAATTATAGTGATGATGAGGAGACAACCAAACAAGAAACTTTCCTTTTAATTTTTATTGACGAGGGTGGGGGTAGCACACCCTACTGGCCACACCGCTGGGCAACAAGAACAGATATTGAACCTGTAACATTGAGTCGGACATGTCGAATATTTTCAGTCGATGAAGTTCATAAGCCAAAGCCTGCAGAGAACAGAGTGCACTTGCGTCGATCGGTGGTGGACAGGGAGGACACGTTCCCCCACTTTTCAAAGTAGGGGAACATCATATCAATTGTCCCCCCCCCCTTCCACTTTTTACCAATCTTCTATAGTTAAAACACTCTTTCAAAGCGTTTGGAAAGAACAACAAATGAAAATGACAAAAGAACGTTAACGATAATATTAATTATGTTGATGGTGCTGCTGACAAATTGCAATGATGATGATTCTTTGAAAATTATGAGAAAGGGCAGACGATGATAATATTAAGTATGATTCATAATAACGATTATTATTTGTACAAACCGAGGTATTGATGGTAATAATAATCTTACTAACATGCCGATGATAACGATGACGACATTAATATATTACCAACAGACACATTATCAATTTAAAATATATTTATCAATGTACCGTACTGTAGATAATAGCATAATTTTGGCAATTAAAATTAAACTATAACATTATTTTTTGTACATAGAACAAAGTTACTGGAACAATGAACGTATGTTACGTTGTCTAGCGTTTCGATAGTATTTATATTACTCCGGTAAATATACACATATCTGAATTATGCCTTGCGTGCTGTTTTCCGATCATACTACTTTGATAATTGCCTTTGAACTTCTAAAAATTAGTGGTGGCAGCCTCGCTCCGTTGTTCAGAGTATGCCATTGAGGCAGAAATGTCGGATAATTTCTATCGCCGAACTTCTTAAATCAAAGCCTGCAGAGTTAGAATGTCCTAACTTTCCAGATAGTCTGCCAAAATTAACCATCTATGATTGATATCGTGCTGTGTAACAAAACTGTGACTAAATCTAATTAAAAGTAATTGTCGTGTTCTATCCTGAATCTATTTGTAAAATGTACCGAATATGATGTTATATAGTATATTAGTAACATGTTTATATATTGCAGTTTGTGTTGACAAAATCTTGACAACCAATTGTGTTATGCTATACATAGTATTTCTATGTTATATACCGTAATATTTATTTATTTTAGTTCCTGAAGAAATATTAAAACAATATTTCATTTAACTTTACATAATAATAACCATGGGCATTCAATGTTACGAAAATAATGATGTTGCGATAATAAATATACAACTATTTTTCAATAGAAATTTACATTTTTTTTAGTCTATTTGTATTTATCGCATGAGTGAATGGGTGATGTACGACAGAACTTATAATAAGAAATTCATGCTAATGACTATGGAGACGGTGATAATATAAAAATCAATGATTATGAGGAGAAGAGGACCAGAAACATGAAATACTTTGTGTTGTCAATATTTTTCTCCTGGAATCTCATTAAAACTTTTTATTCCATAGGCTATCCAGCTTATTATCAACTTGTAAAATGTCAGTATATTTGGGCCTATTGTAGAATCGTATTAGTTTTAAATTATAAATATATTTCAATTTGTTACCAAAATAAAAGTCTCGTTGAGATTACTATTTTAATATATTATATTACATTCAATTTTATTTGTATATTATATATTAGACTCTGGCCGGGACGTAGCCAGGATTTTGAAAGGGGAAGAGCCGTTATGCTAGTTATGATAGTATAAACCCGGCGGATCCAGGGGAACCAACCCCCCCCCCACCTGTGAAGTAGCGCACTATGAACGTTTTAAGGACTGTTTTGAGAAGATAAAGTGACAATTGTATTAGACACAACATATATATATAATGTTAGTAGGCCCAGCACTAATTATAATAAATCAACAGAATCCATGAATTCGAAAGAGAAGTGTCCCAGGGAGGGATTTTCACAGACTAAGGAACCACCCACCTCAGCCCCACCATGGTTGGCATCATTATTATTCATAATTTTAATAGTCATTATAATCAGGATTTAAAACATCATTATCTTCATATTTATTATTTTTATGTTTTAGTAGTAGTCGTCATCATCATCATCCAATTTTGTTGATATATTTACAATCATCATAATTTTAAGGAATCCTCATCGTTGAGACCACTATTTTAATATCATTATTGATATTATATTAAATTTTAATTAGTTCATTAAATAATTTCTACTTCCACATCATTGATTAACAAAAATTAATATAAAAAAATACGATTTACTAAATATGTGAAAATAAAGTGCTAGTGATAATTACTAGCACTTTATTTACACATATTTAGTAATTCTGGTTTTTTTTTTTTTTTTTTTTTTTTTTTTTTGTTACTTACAAGTTTTTACAATTATTGTGAAAGCTTGTAAACGCACCGTCCATTCAGATTGGTAGACGCGTTCAGATGAACTTATTCTCCGGCATAAATCGTTTCTATTGTTTCAAATTTGTTTCTTTCACTTCAATAAGTGCGGCCGCATTGTAACGCGTTACTTGGTAAAGTTTAGCGTTTCATTGACTATTGCATTGTGCTTTGAGCTTTATTGTCTACCATTTAACACGTTTTGTAAAGCAAGTTTGAATTGTTTGAGTGTAGCGGCATCTGGCTATAAAAGTCACACCGACTTTCTACAACTCATCAGTTGATGGTTATCTGTGCTCCGAAAATCTTCTAAAATCTAAATTATGCCTAGCGTGCTGTTCTCCGATCTTGCTACTTCGATTATGCCTTTGACCTTCTACGAAATAGTGGTGGCAGCCTTGCTCCGTTGTTCGAATAATACTGGAAGTTGTCTTGACGTCTTCAATATCATTAGGAAGATTTGCCCAGAGAAATACAGTCTCAGGAATGCCAGACAATGTGTTCGCAAGATTTTCATTGAATCTCTATATATTGAGAGAGTCAAAAACACTGACAAGTATCGTTTGCGAGACGGCTGGCAATATGAATTACCATGCATTATCATCGTAAACGGGATGGAGTATCACGTCGCTA